CAGTTTATGACTGTTCAGTAAACCATTCGGCCCGCGATTTAGGCTGGATTTTAGATTTTGGCCCCTTCTCTGATTGAGTTTGACACCCCTACTCTAGGCTCTGGCCTTGCTATCCCTTTTATTGAGGCTGCTATGGGATACACCCATTACCCTTAAGCAGCTTTGGGAAATACCCATAGCCCTTAGGCAGGTAATAAGCAGATTATCATATCAGTAAGGATTTACATGGTTACAAGATGGGGAAATTGCCTCAGTTACTATTGTCTCAATTAGATAGGGTGTGGTTGGCTTGGACCTTTCAGAGCTTCAAGGTTGACCAGCCTCTTTCTATTAGTGAGACAATGATTGGTTTCAGGCAGTACATCCCACCATGCAATACTATGCAGTTTACAAAAAAGGATCTCTTACCCTTTGAGACGACATGGAGGGACCTGGAGAGCATTATGCTTAGTAAAATAAGCCAGTTAGAGGAAGATAAATATATGTGGAATTAATGAACAAAATATAACTAAAGAACAAATACTCTCCAGAGACATGGAACAGAATCAGAAACCTCAGAGGGAAAGGGGTAGACAGGGGGCTGGAAAAGATAAACCAAAGGACTTATATACATGTATGTATAACCCATGGGCACAGACAGTAGTGCGGTGAAAACCTCGGGGTGGCGGGAGTGGAGTGGAAGAGGTAATGGGGAGAAAAAGGGGGACATCTGTAATTCTCTCAACAATAAGATAAATAAAAAATAAGAAACTGGGCAGAGTACCTGTAGACAAACTTCTCCAAAGAGGATAAACACTTGGCCAATAGACATATGAAAAGATGCACAATGTCACTAATAATCAGAGAAATGCAAATTAAAACAATGATATAGCACTTTACATCTGTCTGAACACTATCATCAATAAATCAACAAACAATAAGTGCTGGCAGGACTGTGGAGAAAAGGGAACTCTCATATATGGCAGGCAGAAATGTAGATTGGTGCAACCACTATGGAAAACAGTATGAAAGTCTCTCAAAAAATTAAAAATTGAACTTTATTATAACCCAGTGATACCACTTCTGGCTATATATATGAATAAATAAAAAAACATTAATTTGAAAGGACATATGCACCCCTATGTTCATTGCAGTGTTTATTTATAATAGCCAAATAGGGAAGCAACCCAAGTGCCCATCAGTATATGAAGGATAAAATAGTGGTACATATGTAGGATGGAATATTTCTTGGCCATAAAAAGAATGAAATCTTACCATTTGTGACAGCATTAATAGTCCTAAAGATTATTATGGTAAATAAACCAGTCAGAGAAAGACAAATACCATATGATTTCATGTGTAAATGAAATATAAAGGAAATAAATTAACACACAGAATTGGAAAAGATTCACAGATATAGAGAATAGGCTAATAGTTGCCAGAGCAGAACAGGGTAAAGAGATTAGGTGAAAAGGTGAAAAAATTAAGAAGTACAAATTGGTATTTACAAATTAGTCACAGGGATATAAAATACAGCATAGGGAATATAGTCAATAATATAGTAATAAATATGTATGGTGCCAGGTGCATACAGGAAACATTGTGGGGAAACACTATGCGAACTGTATGATAGTCTGACCACTGAGCTATATACCTGAAACTGATATAAAATAATATTGAATGTAAACTTTAATAAAAATATATTTATTCTAAACAAAGGAATATGAATCTGCACTATTGGAGTTTTCCTTTCCCATATATTAAGCTCTTTTTGAAGTACTGAAACTCTCTTCCATTCTGTAAGAAAATAAACCTGAAGCACTGGCCTGAAACATGTGTAGATATGAATCCTAGTTCCATAACTGTGAACTTGACACATTACTTAACATTTCTGAGCCTGTTTCCTCAGTGAGACAATACAGACAACTATTGGAATCTGCATAGTAAATCATAGCATCAAGTACATCCTGGGTACTTAGCACCAGCAGCTATTATGATGGTGGCCCATTATTCAGACAACTATTGCAATCTGCATAGTAAATCATAGCACCAAGTACATCCTGGGTACTTAGCAACAGCAGCTATTATGATGGTGGCCATTATTCAACAATGATAGAGTTTTCTAAGAGCCAAGCACTGTGTAAGTCACACAGCCAACTTCATAGGAGACTACAGTCTTTTAAATTGCTGGTTTTCAGTTTGCCTGGAGCTGGTGGGAATGAACAGAAGTTTTGTTTCAAGATCATGGGTTATCCCCTCGCCTTCATTATATTTATTAACAAAGGGCTCTCAAATAAGACCATATAATCCCAACTTCTCTCACTTTTTAACCTCAAAATAAAGTGATTTTTTACCTCTACCGAGAAACCCTTAGTGTGGGAGAGAAACATGCAGCTGTGGGTGGAACAGCAGGTTACTATCTTGGTGTGGACTGGTTGTTATTGTTGCTGTATTTTTCTAACCATCTTCCCTACTTGTGGTTAAGATGATAATCTTATACCTGCTGACGTTCTGCTTTAAATAAAACATGTAAATAGATATTTTCAGCATCTGTACCATTTTTATAAGTAAACAATACCTGATACACCTGTAGGCTTGGTAAGGCAATAGAGTAAAAGCTGTCCTCTTATGTTTTTATTGTTCCAAAGCAGAAAACTAAGTGTGCAAAGAACTGGAAAGTGTATGTCCCTGGAAAGTAAGAAAAGCAAGGATTTAAATGCACAATTTCCAAAAGGAAGCTTCACTCATCTCATTGTAACTAACTGAAATTATATGGAATTTTATTTAGTAAACATATGTCTTCAATTACTGGATAAATATGGGGTTAAATATTACATGTATATAAATTTAGAGTAAATTAAACTCTTAAGCTCACAAGGGAAGGTTTGATACTTAATGCCATTCTATTAGTAACTGTTTTTAATAAATAAAAGCATGTTGCTTGTCTTTCTTTTATGTAAATTTTGGGATTCAAAATTATATTTCCAAAATTACAAAATAGGAGAAAAAAACCCTCATATGTTAAATGTAGTATTCCCTGAATTATGTTATTCTGTGTTTTAAAAATCATTGTTTGGTATTATGTACAATATTTTCTAAGGACATATTCCAACAATGTACATTCATAATCTTTATAATGAGAAAAAGATTGTAGAAAGAAAAGTAATATCTGTATAAATGATTAACATAATATTAAATTCCAAACAAATAACAGTTCCTTTGCAAAGGTTAGAATCCTACGGTTTATTCACTTTTCATTTAAGAAGGAATATTAGGAGGGGCTTGAGGGAGTTAAAGATAACCTCCACCAAACAGATTTTCTTTTATGATTATTAAAAATGCTAAAATAAAATTGAAAAGGGAATTACATTATGAAAGTGTGAATCTTTACTAATCGTGATGCCCTTGCTACTTACAAACATGTCCTATGTTATGTGGCCCATGTTTGGGGACCACTGACCTAAACCAGCTGCAGCAGATGGCGAGTCCTAGTGCTTCCTAGAAGACCCCCAGAATTGCAGAGTTCACAGTTTTGTTCATAATTTCTTAAAGCATTTACCCTATTGAACATATCCTATATAATAAAAGCCTAATATGCAAATCGACCAAATGGCAGAACTATGATGTGCACTGACCAATGCAGGAGCTACCCCCAGGCCAGCCAAGGTAGGTGCCAGTGCCTACCCACCCCCCCACCCCAATTGCCCTATAGTGGTCACCCCGCAGAGGAAGACGACCAGCAGCAGCAGTGGGGGGCAGAGCCAACGACTGGGCAGTGCCAGGCCTAGGGACCCTACCCATGCATGAATTTCATGCATTGGCTTCTAGTATCCCTATAAAATCCCAGTCCAACTTTATCCTGTTGTCTCTGCAGTCATGAATCACATTCCCTTTTACACTCCAATGTGTCCTAGTTTGGGACAATCCACTCTGTAGTGACCAGGGGGATCATTCACCTGTCCACCACTTTCAGAGCACCTACTCTGGACCTAGCTCTCATAATAACTGGAAATATAAAGGTGAGCGAGGTAGTTCCCAGCCCTTGAGGACTCAGGAATGGAAGGTCAGGGCAAGGAGGGGAAGGGAACCACTTAATGAGAACAAAGTGATGAGAGTCACAGAGGTCTATGCCATGTGCTGCTAGGATCACAGGGAAGGAGGGCAGATGACTCAGAGGAACACCAGGTTCCTCAGGGAAAGGGGCAGCTGATCAGTGATGTCAGACAACAATCAGCTTCAGAGAGGCAGGTAGGTCTTTCCTTTTTATAACAATGGATTCATTTGCGTTTCTAGGTGTTCAGGGAACTGGTGTGGTAAGGATTAAAGTGGGGAAAACAGAATCTTGAAATATGTAGAGACAGATAATGTGTGCAGAGTGCCAGCTGGTGTGGCTCAGTGGATAGGGTGTCGCCTGCAGAATGAAGTGTCTAGGGATGTGCAGAAGGCAGACAATCAATGATTCTCTATCATCACTGATGTTTCAAACTCTTTTACTCTCTTACTCTAAAATCAATAAAAATATTTTTTAATGTTTGCAGAGGAATAATATTCTCCACAAATTACTATGTTTGAATCATAAATGGGATCATATCACTTCCTTATTTAAAACCCTTCATGGATTGATCACTGTTCTCAGGATAAACTGCACACTCCTCCCATGGCCCAGCTCTGCCATTGGTCTGCAGTCACATCTGCTGCTCTCACACCAGCTCACTACGCTTTGACCATCTTGAAAAATGCCAAGTTCTTTCCCACTTGAGCTCTTTTCTGGAGCTCTGCTGTCCCTTCTTCCTGGAGCATGGTTCCCCCAGTAATATAAAAATCTGACTTATATACAGGGAAAGCCCACCTGAGAATGACGCCAGCACAGAGGGAAGTGAGCAAAGCCAAGAGGACAGGGGAGGTGACTCCTGCTGAGGTCATAGACACCCAGGCCAGCAGCTGCATGACAATGGAGACCTCTGCCTGCTTCGCCCAGATGTCTCAGTGCCTGGAACCCACCCTGCAACCTGGGTGCTGGCCTTTTCCAGAACCACACTTTTTCCTGTTGGAATTCCCCTTATAAAGTCCACATACGATTATCACTACACACTTCTAAAACTATAGGATGCACAGCCCCAGTTCTGTGCAGAGGAAGAAAAACAAAGTGCCCAATACATCTTTCTAGAACATCAAGTTTATTATAAAACTTGAGAGAACCAAATATTTAATAAGCAGCTCACAAACATGGGAGCAAAGGAGCAGGGGAGGGAAGGGACCCAGGGAAAAGTCCAGTCTCTGGTCTCATTCAGGTGGGGGCTGAGGGATGGACCCACAGCGAGGGCAGCCTCTCCTCTTGACCTCTGGGGTATCCGGGCAGTCCTACAAGCTCAGCAGGCATTGTGGTTCTGAAGGGCAAGGCGCTGCTGGATTCGCTCCTGGTATGGATCCTGTGAAGAGAAAGCTGACAGTTTACACACCTCCATTGTCCACCGGACCAACTCCTCTCCCCCTGCACACACAGTGTGTACTTCTGGCACCGCTCTCACCTGCAGCTGTTTGCCTCCAACCTCCGGTTCATCTTCTATACCACATGGCCGGCCTTCCTGGAGCTCCGCACCTTCAAGATGACTGTAGCCCCGCCTTAACCGTTCACAATTTTAAAAATCACGCTGGTTTGATTTTTGTCCTTTTGTGATGTTTCTTCTTGGTGGATGGCCCACAACATATGGATCTTAAGAAAAACTGGAAGGCCCTCCTAGCAATGGACTGCGGGCCCTGGATTGGGCTAGTGGGAGCGGCTGGGGTGCCACCCTCAGGCTGCCTTTCATGGGCGGCTCCCTCTGGGGCTCCACCACCGCTGCTGGTGCTGCTGGTGTTCAGGATGGAGAGGGAGTCCGCATAGCTAAGCTGGAGGTCTTCCCTGGGGGTATCTGAGCTGTGCTCTGAGGGAGTGGTTTCCAGGTTGGATGAGGAATTTGTCACCCTCAACCGCAGGCATTTTGGGGAAACAGAAGGCTCTTTGGTGTTCTCATCAAATGACTTACCATCCTCTTGGCTTAAGGACTTGCTACTGGTGTCAGGGGAGTGATAGGGCCTTACCCTGACGGTGCGGCCAGGCATCTTGGTTTTCGTCATTCTGAGGATCAGGTATGTGCCCATCACTCTATCAAATTTTCTTTGTGTTACTGACTCCTGGATGTCGTCCTGCTTAAAGCCGAGGATCTGCATCATTTCTGTTACCTGGGGGTCCAAGTCATCGCAGGGCAGCTCGCTGTATGGCCTCAGCATCTCCTCCTCGCCTCGGTTGAGCCAGGGGTCCTGCATTACAGCTTCCAGGGTCGGTCTTCGTTTAGGGTTGACAGTGAGTAATTTTCTTAAAAGTTTTTGAACCTCCCTTGACATAAAGTGTGGTATATGGTAATGGCCATTTATTATCTCCCTCTTCACCTTCACAAAGTTGTCCACCCCAAACGGCTCCACCCCCGTCAGCATCCTGTACAAGACCACCCCCAGGCTCCATACATCACTTTTGCGGCCATCATAGGTTTGACGCTTCAAGATCTCTGGGGCCGAATAGCAGATGGTGCCACAGAAGGTGTTCTGTTTATCACTGCTCACTTCCTTACTGAAGCCAAAGTCTGTTAATTTAATGGTCATATCACTGTCTACAAGAATGTTCTCTGGCTTCAGGTCTCTGTGGACAATGCCCTTCTGGTGGCAGTACTGGACCGCGGATACTACCTGCCGGAACACAGTGCGGGCTTCTCCCTCATTCATTTTGCCATACTTGTCCAAGTACTCAAGTAAGTCCCCTCCGCTCACATGCTCCATAGCGAGAAAAATCTTGTCCTGGGTGGCAATCACCTCAAATAACTTTGTGATATTTGGATGATTTAAGCGCCTAAAACAATGGGCCTCTTGAAAAAATCTAGCGATGCCCTGACTTTTAATGACTTTTACAACCACCTGTGCCCTGGTCAGCAAATGCTGGGCCAACCTCACCTCGGCAAAGCATCCCTTGTCGATGGTGTCCAGGAGGAGGTAATCACCAATATAGCGCTCCTTGGTGGCACAGTGGTCTGCAAAGACATTAAACATGGCACCTTCAAAATAACAAAATAAAAAAACAAAACAAAATAAGAAAAAAAAAAAAGGAAAATAGGAAGAAAAAAAAAGTAAAATAGAAAAAAAGAAAAAAAGTAAAATTAAAATAAAAAATTAAAAACAAAATTAACAAATGAAAAAATGAAAAAAAATTAACAAAATGAAATTTAACAAGAAGGCCAAAACAAGCTAAGGAGTCCAAGTCCACAGGTCACCACAAATCAGCTTCCTGGGCTATAACGGACAAAAACCTCAGCCTGGTCAGGGTCTTATATAGGAGTGGTTTGTAATTCCATTACAATGTGCCTTATGAGATCATATAAAGAAATGCACCAATCACAGCTGGGTGTGGTTTGCAGTTCCATCACAATGGCTCTTTATGAGGTCAGAGCAAGACATGGACCAGTCACAGCTGGGGTGTGGTTTGCAGTTCCATCACAATGGCTCCTTATGAGGTCAGAGCAAGACATGGACCAATCACAGCTGGGATGTGGTTTGCAGTTCCATCACAATGGCTTCTTATGAGGTCAGAGCAAGAAATTGACCTATCATGGCTGGGGATAAACCACACTGGTTTTCTAAGTTTTTGGTCTCAACACCCTTATGCTCTGAGAAAAACTGAAAGACAACCCCCAAAGAGCTTTTTATTTATGTGGAAAATTAAATATTGATATTTATTATAAATGAAAATCTGTAATATGCAAGCATACAAACACATGCAAAGGAAAAGTCTGACTGATTTTCATGCTCCAGGCCTCAGTTCAGCTATCACCTGCTTAGAGAAGATGCCCCTGATGCATCCATTCCTACCTGCCTCACCCAGCTGTTCAGGTTTGTCGTTTTCATAGCACTGACCACAGTGTGGCTGGTTCTTGTTTATTGTCAGTCCTTCCCATGAAGGGAGGAGCATGACTGTAGTGTTCCCTATTTCTAGCACAGTGAGTGGCAACAAGTATTTAATATAGATAGAAAAGTTTGAGGGAACAAAATGAAACATTTCCAAGTACTTATTTAATTAAAGTGATTCATAAAAAATATCTGTAAGAAATTCATGTTCTGTCCCCACTCAGCTTTTGGGACAGATAAGACAGGACAGAGAAGGGCTGAGATGTGGGTTTCCAAGCATGTGGGTGCTTAGTGAGGCTGAGGAAAGGCCAACAGGTAGGAGCCTTGCTATCTAGATTAAAGGAAAGTATTCATTCCTTTGGTGGTAGTTGGATGTAATGAATTTGGATCTGCAATGAGATTGCAGTGTATTTTTATACTTTGAATATCAGTTGACAGATTACACAGAGGACTTCTGACCTTGAACAGGCCACTTAGGTAAATTTCTGTGCTACTTAAATAAACCATCTCTGTGGAAAGAAACAATAATGAGGCTTGTTAATTTACATTTATAAACACACTGAAATCTCTGGATGAAATAATTTTTACAGGTGTTCAAAGGGTGAGGTAGTATGTTCGGGCAAATTGTACCCTTTATGGAAGGGGAGAGGAAGCAGGCAGATTTGAGGACTTAGTTTGAAATATAATGTGCCAAAGGCTTCCCCTAACACTTGAAAAAAGCTCCCTACTTTCAGGACATCGAGTGTTTTAAACATGTATAAATTATTATTCTAGTAATTATTTTCCTTTAACATTTCCCTCCTCAATTCTCAGTTTGTGTAATCTTTAGAGGGATTAGCCTGTGAATTTTTCCCTCTACAACACTTTAGTTTGTAATTTTTACCTACATCAGTGATACTCAGCAACTAAGCATGACAGTCTCTGTTGCTGAGCTGACTGGGACCCAAAGAGGGGTACCACATCAATTCTATTCAGATGTTTACAAGTTCCAGTCAGAGATTAAATAAGCTCAGAAAGTAAAAAAGAGAAAAATTCTAAGAAAGCTGTCAGTCTAAGACTTACTAGTAATTATATACAACTAGACGCCGGGTGTACACAAATTGGTGTATGGGTGGGATCTGGTTGGCCACCCCAATTGGGTCGCTGGGGGCAGGCCAGCCAGAAGGAGGGACTGCAGATAGTTGCCCAGCTAGCCCCATCCCCTGGTTAAATTCCCAGTTGAGGGGACAGTTTGCATATTAGCCTTTTATTATATAAGATTATAAGAATGGCATTAATATGTACTTAGAAATAATTCCAACAAAATAGGACATTTTCTGATCTCTTTCAGCCAGGTAAATACAAACTCAAAGATCAGACATTTAATATAAAACTGTCAAGGCAAAAGCCAAGCTCTGGATAAGTCTAATTTGAGGTATCTTACACTCTGGGGTATTCAATCAGGTGACTGAGATACAATTTTGGAGGCCTTTTAAGATTAAAAACATAAATTCATGGATCAGTACTTTTTAACATTGCAACTCAGAAATTGATTAGCAATATCTATCGTGGTACACTCCAGTGAGGCTGGAGGGAGTCCTTGGAGAGATGTTTTGAACACCATTTATCCTCTCCATGCTCTCTACCCAAAGTTTTAGGTGACCATATGATCATGCCTGAGCATTATACTCTCTGCCAGAGACACAGTGATTGCTTCAAGAATCAACAAGTGAGCTAGAAAGAGCCAAGAAGACTGACAGAAATGTGTCCTTATGCCTTGACCTGTGAGCATGTACACCTGGCACTACTCTCAGCCATGTTGCTACCACAAAAAGCCTGAAGGGGAAGCATGTGAATGCTCAGAGTCGAGGATGACACATTTGAAATCCTGAATTCAGACACAGAAACACTCCTCCATTTGTTAGTGAAGTGACCCAGTAAATTTCTATTTTTGCTTGAATCATTTATTTTTTGTCTTTTACAACCAAAAAGGTCCTAACAAGGTTTAGGTGAGCTAGAAAATTGGTTTATCTGCCAGCGGATGAGCAGTGACCAAGCTTCCTGGTTTGCAGCTGCCTGCATTACTGATTTAGCAATTGTCTGCAATGCACGATAGGTTAGATGCACCTTTCCTCAAGGCTTTGCTTTTGAGGTTTACAATTGAATTAGGCTAAAATATAACATATAGCTATTCAAGCTGGCAGCAGAGACACTTGGTTTGATGCAGCTAGTGGTGCCAATATCAGAATTAATATAATGGTTCCATGTCAAAACAATAACAGGATAAACCATCTGGAAGGGCAATTCAAATACTGAGGCCTTATTGCCACTGGCAAATGGAGCACTGAGCCCTCCTTGCCTGCCTTAGACTGGCAGCTTTCTTTGAATTTCTGTGTTAGAGGCAGGTTCTGGTTTAGAAATGGCTATGGGAAATTATTGCTGTCTTAACGGCAAAAAAATGCTCTTGTAATGGTTTTCTAAGAGGTAACAGAAACATAGTGAAGCTTTTTGGTGTTAGGATAAAGATGTAGGCCTGTTTGGGAGGGAACTGTGAGCTCCTATTAAGAAAGGGGGAGCTTTATTTTACCCAGTTCTACTTTTAGTTAGTATATTTATTCATACATTCTAAGTGTAAGGCATTGGGGGAGGGGGGCAGTGTGAGGATTTATTAGTTGTCTGTGGAGGTACATCTCTGCTCATATGAAGTCCAGGAAGAGGACAGACAACAAACAAGCAAATAAAATGATAATATAATGTAAGTAACATATGAAAACAGTTCTGAGTTAAAGAATTACAGGGAGAGGGATCTGCTGTGATGGAAGCTCTACCTGCTGGAGTGACACTGGAGCTGAGACCTGGAGGTGAGTAGGAGCCAGGTGTGTGAGAAGTGCAGGACAAGCATCCTAGCCTGAGGCTGGGGTGGAACAAGAGAGACGATTACCGTTCAAAGGCCTAAAAGTAATCCAGATTGGCTATACCACAGTGACGGAGGGAGAGCAAAAGACACAATTTTAAGAGAGTCAGGACCCAAATAAATAAAATCAGAAAGGAAAGAGGGGAAGTAACAACTAACAACAAAGAAGTACAAAGGATTGTAAGAAAATATTATAAACAACTACAAAATATGCCAATAAATCAAACAATCTGGAAGAAATGACTAAATTCCTAGAAGCTTACAACCTCTATAACTAAATCAGGACGAAGCAGATCATCTGAATAGATAGATTACAACCACTGAAATTGAAGGAGTAATAATAACCAATAGTACAAACAAAAGCCCTGGATGCCCTAGCCAGTTTGGCTTAGTGGATAGAACTTTGGCCTGAGGACTGAAGAGTCCCAGGTTTGATTCCCACCCTGTGCACATGCCCGGATAGTAGGCTTGATCCCCAGTAGGGGGCATATAGGAGGCAGCCAATCAATAATTCTCATCATTGATGTTTATATCTCTCTCCTCCCTTCCTTCACATATGTAACACTGTCAAAAATAAAATAAAATTAAATAAACTGCATATAGTGTATTATTCCATTTACATAAAAGTCTAAAAATGCAAGTTGATCTCTATGGTAAAGGCCATGGGTGGCTGCCTGAGGCTAAAGGCAGTAGATGGAATTAACTGCAAAGGGGCATGAGGATCCTTCTGGGGATGATGGAAATTTTGTGACTTGAGTGAGGTGGTGGTTTCATAGGAGTATACATCTATCATTTTTAAAAGTCTTACCTAATCAATCTGAATAATTACTCAGAAATAATAATTATTCTGAATCCTCTCTATAACCCATATGGAAACCGCTGGATCATGAAGAAGAGAGCTGCTCATTAGCTATTTTCATTCTACCTAAAAAGAAGTGGATCAAAGGCATTCAGTCAGGAAACTGGAATCACATCTTCAAAAGCAAGTTTGTTTAAGGAAGAAGTGAGGCGTATATTCTAGGGCTTATGCAAAGAAGTAGGTACTGAGGATAATGGTAATGGGCAAAAGAGGCCAAGGCAAGTGATTCAAAATCACCCTACATTTACGGAACAATAGGGGGATTTGCATCCCATAAGTGGAAACATCAACTCCTCAATTATGATATTCCCCAGTATACACAGGAATTCTATAAAGTCAAAGAATAGAATGTGGGTGTTATATTGTATTTAATAAAAAGAATCCGACTTGCCCTTCATACTGCTTAGTCTACAGAACTGTCAGCATTTCATTAGAAGTGTTCATTGTCTCACTTAGTGATGATGGCAAAAAAATGTTCCTGGTTCTCCATGGGAGGTAGGATGAACTATTAGGGACCCCTCTCCTGGCAGAACCCCAAGTCCTGATGGCTGTCCTGCAGAGGCACCTGCCAGAAAACACTCTTGCATTACCTGTGGACGCATTTAATGAAGTCAACGGATTGCTTTTAGGCACATAAAAAGCTACTAAGAAAATGAGGTCAGGGCTGAAAAGTAGGATTTATTAGATTCTTGTCTTCTCCAGAACTGTATCATCCTTATGAAAATGTTCACAATGTAGCTGGAGAAAGGTAGTCAAAGTACTTTTTTTAAAATGACCTTCCTTTGTTTAGATAAAAAAACAATTGTGAAACTTTAAAACTCACAGGAGTTTCAAAGTTTATATATTATAGAATTTATAATTATGGGACCTCAAAAATACAATGGCTATTATCAAACTATTGTCAGTGTCCATGGGCTATGCATATATATTCTTTGGTTAATCTCTTGCCCATGTGGTGGAGGGAGGGGAAGGCAAAAAGGGGGTAAATAGGGGACTATCAACATTAAAAAATACAATGGCTAAATAATGCCTTACCATATCTCTAAAATGAGACCATGCTTTCAACTATGTTTGCGGTATCATAAATCCAAAAGCTTCTAAGAAAAACAACTGTGTAAGACAAATATATAATTTTTGCCTCTCTATGTTTCTTCCCTCCACCCCCTTATTTTGAAACAAAACCTACATTTTCCATGAAACTAATATTAGCTTCATATGCCCTTTGATCTGGCTGGTCAGTACATTGCATCTTTGGGCCACAAACTAGCCATTGCATCATAAGAATCCACTAAGATTGATAGTAACAGGGAACAAAAGACCCAAAATATGGAAAAAGAAACTCCATAAT